AATTGTCCCCCAGCTGGAGTTGAACCGTGGGTCATGGGTTAGCCCTACCCTGCCTTAGCCCACTGGACTATGACCGGATAGGTCTTTAATAAATAAATAATATATAATATTTTGTTTTAGTAATATAGATTATATATATTTTTATATTCATATAAAAAAAATTTGATTGATATATAATTTTGAATTAAATATTATTATTATTTTTTTAATGTTAAAGTAAGGCCTTATTCATGATTTTTATTAATATAGTAAAAGTATAACTTGTTATATAATTAATAGTAAAATATTAATTATATTGCTATAGATATTAACCTATCATCTATAAAACAGATATATCATTGAAAAAATCTTTGAAAAAGAAAAACCTGAGAAATTATCTGTTATAAAAAATAAAAATAAAAAAAACATTTTAAACAAAATTACTATTTTGTATTTAAATATTGTAAAAAAATATTAATGATATATAAATATTGTAATTACTGTTAGATGTGATTTCTGAACATATATATATAAGTTTAATCAAATGTCAGCATTGTGCAAGCCACATGTAACTTTTGAGTTTGTATTTGAAAATGTAAGTTTTTGTGATTATTATCTGATAATTAATTATATTTTATATTAATAGATTAGATATTAATATTTATTTTAGTGCTTTATTGTATTGTTTTGTTATTATTAATTGTTGGAGTCATATTAGAATCCATATAGAGTACTGGTTATATGCTTGTTCAATCCAATAGATTGTTATATTGTTTTGATATAAGTAGGTAATACAGAATATAATTGATATTTTAAATATTATAAATCTTTTAATAGAAATAAATTGAGTTCAGTTTTTTATATAAAATGATTTTTGTGTAAATATTTAAAGAATTTTGAATATAAAATATTAGTGAGAACTAATAGCTAGCTAGAGAATATGAAGGATTTTTTACTAGTCATTATCAGTAAAAAATAAAAACTCTGAAAAAATAAAATACTGTCTTTTAACAAATATATAGCTTTTTGAAAAAAAAAAATTTTTTTAAGATTTATATTTATCTTCTAATAGCCAAGCTATTTAATTAATATTTTTGAAAGTATTAGATCTTTTTAAATAAGTCATTTGTAGTTTTCAAGAAATATTGTTAAACTTTTTGCTGCTTAATATCAATCTTTAGAATTATACCTCTTTCCAAAGATATAATCTATTAGTTAAGGTTTCTTGAAAAAAAAAAGATTTGTTTGATATAAGAAAAGATTTAAATATAAAAAAAAGAATTTTTATTCATTTTCTAATAGCCAAACTATTTGATTAATACTTTTGTAAGTATTTGACTTTTTTGAGCAAATTATTTCCAGTTCTTAAAGACCATTGTAGAAACTCTCTATTATTTAATAACAGTTTTTAAAATTATACTTCTTTCCAAAAATATAATCCATTAATCAAAATTTTTTGAAAAAAAAAAAATATTCTAAAAAGACAATTTTATAAAAGAAATTATATATAGGAAAGAATTTTTTTTTTATTAATTAAATATTATTCTTAAATATTTATTTTATATTACTTAATATTTTTATTATAATATAATTTTTGAAAAATTTCTTAATTCATTTATATCATATATACAATATAGATATTGTTAGATATCTGGATATTAAAAAATTCAGAATACTATTGTAAAAAATTATTATTGGTTCAAAATAAATAAAACATAAAAAAATATATATTAATACAATATATAATATATGTTAGTGATTTAAACCAAACAATCAATAATCTGTTAAATTGTTTTAATTTTACTAATACCAATTCACAAATAAAAAAAAAGAATTATGGATTTTATTATTTAACTATCTCTAATTAAAAAAGAATATAATATTATTATTATATTTATTGACTACTTAATTAATAAACTTATTTTGTTTCTTATATATTTTTGCTATTACTTCAAAATCATTAAAATATACTTTTCGAATTTTTCAAACATCCTATATTATCAAAAATTATTATATTAGATCAGAATACAAAATCCATTAATTATTTTTAACAAGCTTTGTTTTAATATCTAAATATAAAAACCATTATATTATTTATTTTTTATTTTTAAATAGATAAATAAATTAAACATTCAACAGAATTTTAAAAGAAATATTATATATATGTATATACTATTTACAAACAATATTTATAAAATAATACTTGTTTACTATTGAATTTATATATAACAATTCTAAAAATATTAATAGGTTTTATAATATTTGAATTAGAATATAAACAATATCTCAAAATACTCTTGATACTTGTAATATTAATAGCTATATCAATTGCTAATAACTTTATATATTATTGAAATATTATAATCAAATCATTAAAGATATTCTAATAAAAACAAACTGTTAAAAAAAACATATCAATTAATACTAATATCATCTGATATTTTAAAAAAGAAATTAAATATTATTATTATTATAAAACTTTAAAAAAATTTTTTTATAATAATTTTCTTTGAAAAAAAGTTCTTTACTTTTTTAATATATTATTTATACTGTAATTAAAAAAAAATTAAATTAGATATAAATTATTTAATATCTAATTTTAGTTAAATTTTTAAAATTTTATTTGATTACTTAAATTATTATTATTTATTATTATACTGTAGTATTTTAATTAATATTTTATTATTATTAAAAAATCATTTGTTAAATTTTATTTTAAAAGTAAATAATTTGATAGTATGTTAAAAAAATTATTTTGAAATTTTATTATTTCTGTATTTAAATAATTCATTTAATTTATCAAATAATTTTAATAATTTTATTTTTTTTTAATGTCAGTATGTATCAAAATTTTAGTATACTATCATTTAACTTATTGATATTTTTATTATATTACTTGTTGTTTAAAAAATATTGTTACTTTTGTATAAACTTTATTACCTTTTTGATTATAATACAATAATAATATTAGAGACCTTATTGTGTTGGTTATATATGGGGTCACTAGGCTTAGTAAGCTTGCACAGACAACTCCAATACCTCTTTAGTCTATGGTGTTTTTTCAACATTTAGCAAGTATGCGATGCTATTAAAAAAAAATTTAATTTTTCCAATTATTTTTGTCCCACATTGAATGTGTCATTATTTTACAGCGGAGAATACTCATACGGAAGTAGGACTACTATTATTTTGTGTGATGTATGATTTTTCCACATTGCCTAAAACAAAACATGACCTGACAAGAACAGACTAAAAGTAACGCGTGATGTCATACAGTATCGGATATTTGCCTACCTCTGGTCTGAAAGACCGACCTAGAAAGTTCTAGGAGGCGCTTGATCATCGTGGTTTTTCTAATTTTAACTCTATCTTGAACATACTCGTATAAGGTGACTAAAATACATCAGATGTGTGCAAAAAAAATGAGCATTCACGGATTTTTTTTTGCCAAAATATCGAAAGGAGAGGGAAACATGTAATACATGAATGGTACTGGACAAGAAACGGATAAGGGTAATGTATTTATTTTATGTAAAATGTAATTAACAATCATTGAATTAAACTTAATTATAAATAATAATCGATACAATTTGTAGAATTGAAGACTTAGATAGTTTACTGATAAAGCTCTACTTTTTTTAAAGTTAGCGAGTATTTGTCATTAATGACTTTTAAGTTAAAGAAGTTCTATAGGACGCATTTATTCACAAATTTAAATGCATCTTTGTGATTTTTATTTAAGACCTTAGAAACGAGATGAGAGAATTAAAATAAAATTCGTATTTTAGTAAAAAGACGAAACCCAAGTTACTAAAATAAATATTATATATTATAAAAAATTATAGAGAAAAGTTTCAATGCTGTCGAAGTATGTAATCCGCTCCACCGGCCTTTAAAAATTGATAAAATATGAATTAAAATTGTAGTTAGAATCACGAATTCGTTGCTTTCTTGTTCAAAAAAAAAAAAGAACCAAACTAACCTCAATAATCTCAATTTCATCATTTGACAACACTCTTCGCTTAAACTTATCCGGTAATTCTGAATAATCGAATATGCGAACAGAAAAAGATGGTTTTTTAGCATTTTGTGGTATGATGGGGTTTGATGAGACAAACGCGGAAGAAGACGATAAAGGCAGTGTCTTTGAAGGAAGTGTAGAGCCTTTTGGTGCCTTTGGATGCAGCTTTGGCAACGGGTCTTTTGGTGATTGATCTTTACAATTTTTAATATAAATGTAAAGGTTTGTTAGCCTCAAGACGGTGTGAGACGGGGTTTTATTAACAAAACTTACCTTTACTTCTTCGTCCAAGAAATTTAATAAGTGGAACATGTGGTTTATGTGCAGCTCTCAAAATTCTTGTTTGATTCATGTTTCTTTTTCGCAATAAAAATTTTTTAGCAATGATGTATTTGATTATTGAGTATTGAGTTTAACTTTTAAAAGAAATATTTCGGTATATATACTAAATTTCTCTGTATGACAGATCGATAAATCAACATCTATGTATTACAATGATTTTCGTCAGATTAATGTCTATACTGGTACTTCATGTTCGATCTTGCATCTTTCCTAACACACATTTCTAATTACAATTATTCAAAAAAGACGCATCTATTTCTTTATGGATAACATTAATTTAGGAGAAAACCGTATATCCTTGTTCTATAATATACGCAATGGTAATTTCTAAATTTGTAAAAAATTATAATAAAAAATACCAAGTATTACTGGTCTCTATTTTATTTGACAGATCGCATGTTTTGTATTAACAGATCCTGTCATACAAATATCACAATGGCACGTCGTTTAAATCTTCAGATTATCCAATTATCAGATAACTCGATAATCTCTTTTAATTTTTTTAAGCATACATGTGAAAATTTCGCATTTAATTAATGTATTACTCTGTATACAGTTTTTTATTAAACAACTTTGATCAAAAAATCATAACATTTTTTTTTTGACAAGCATTAGATGCGAAGTTTATTAAACTAAATTATGTTGATATTTAAAATTAATCAATTTGTTATGTATTAAAAATAATTTTAAAAAAATACATAATATTATTAAATTTTACTCAATACATATAAAAAATACATTTATAATTCTTGAATTTTTTAATATTAATGTTATTAGATTGTTTGCATAATCTAGATATTTATTAACTAATTATTAAAAAAATGCTATCTATTAAATCTCTATTATATAATATTGTTCATTATTTAAAAAACCTTTTAAATCAAATTTTTAGATATGATTTTAAATAAAAAAAATTAATTGAATCAAGAATAATTTATCATTCATGACTTATTATATAATTATGACAAAAATTCACAAAGATTTGATATATCATTAAAATTGGTTTTTCAGAATATTTCAAGATTTTATTTATTTTACTTTATATATTATTATTAAAAAAAAATAAAATAAAATCAAAACTAGAGATAAACTAATTTTGTTTTTAAAATAATAAATACTAATTAAATTATTAATTATTATTGATTATATTGTTAAAATAATTTTTTAAATAATTTTAAATTTATATAAAAACATGGATATCAACACAATAAAATAAATTCATGAAATACACATGCAAAATAAACGCGATTATGTATGCGAAATCGGCCACCAGTCAGCTTTATTATATAAAATGTGTATATACTGTATTTATTCATTCTTAAATTCTACTTTAGTTTTCATCGAATCAAGAGCTTAATTTCACCTAAAAAAATTAATGATTGATTCAGTATTTGGAACTTGTAGTTTTCGAGGGAACGATTTTTGTCATACCGAATGATTCAAGAAAAAGTTTCGACATTGACGTCTGCGCAATAAAGTAAGTGCTATTATGTATACGAATTGACACAACATTTCTCTTCCCGGTGTACACCTGCCTTTTGCTTCGAATATTTTATTGATACAAAAAATAAAATATATGATTCGACTTGTAGCTGTTATACATAGATTTGCTCCATGATGGTTTTATATCAATAAGTGCAGAAGTTTTCGTTCATCTCACTATCTATACTAATACATTATCCCAACAATAATTCACGATCCAGTTCATTAATGTCAGAAATAAATCAAATTAACCTTAGTATAGTCCCACCGAAAATTTATGTTGCTTGCCTTCCATGAGCATGATTACTAGTTTGTGCCATATAACCCATAAGCTCCGAAAATACTATACCTTAATTGTATAATGTCTTGTTCGAGGTTCTCGTTTTTACATGACCATATAATAACGCTTATTTTTTACATAGAAAATAATGGCCAAAAACTAGTCATGATCAGCTATACGATTAATTGATTCCAGGATCATTTACAAAATGATTGCAAAGATAGATACTTTATTAACTTCAAGAAATGCTGAAGATAATTTTGTTACACAAACAATGTTCTCTATCTTTTAATAGGAGTTCGGTTCTTATTTAAATGAAGATCACTTTCTGTCATCATACGTCGTCTTTTGTTTTTCGTATTATTTTGTTAAGATTTCTTTTATGAATTTTTCTGATTCAAGGGATTTCGACTACATTGATTCTATATTTTAAAAATCAATTAACTACTAATAACAAAAATCATATAATATCTTACCTCTAACAACCTAAGGAGGCTTATATCGTCTTCATCGACTGGTAATTCACACTTATCTAGTTACCAAATCTGTATATTCCGGATCCAATCCAATCCATAGCGTAAAAGCTTAGCTCAACTCCTGACATTTAAAAAATATTAATATATTTTTATAATATACAGTATCTAAATATCATGTTGAACTAACTTACCAACTTGCAACCAACCGTACACTATTAACTTTTTACGTTGTTCGTCTGTTACGTCAAATAATTTTTAAAAAATTGATTGAGACTGTCCCTTAACATCACCATAAAATTTTACTTTGTCCACATATTGCTTTTTCCTGCAAGAAGCAGGCAAAACCAAAAGTCAAACCACCGGAAATTTCGCCATAGATTATTTGGCGATTTGACCAAGGTTCCTCTCATGTCAACCTCATGTCTAATTCTAACCTCCGTGCTTTATTTTTCGAGATTATTTACCAAGAAGTATTTATATTCCCTGGTTCGATATTGTTACATTCCCTTGAATTTCATTGCCACACAAAATAGTTTGAATATTAATCTCGATATTCGGAATTTCACGCATATTGTTAAATTTTCGCAAATGTTCCCAACTCACAAAAAAAGAAGAGATAATTAGCGCTCTCAACCATATGAATGTACTGATTTTCACCTGTAAGTAACTCGGTTCGCCACGTAGGCTTCAACAACTGACTAGCGCGTTGGTTATCTGTGCCCCGACGGATCAGTGTTAGGTAAGGCTCGTAGACTTAAACATCAGACAAGCGCGTAGGTTACCTGATGCCCCTTTATTTTCTTCTAAAAAATCTATAATTTTCCAATCGCCATGAGTTTGGTTTTATTCTATTTATTCTATTCATGAATAATTTATGCAACCATTTTACTGTATATAAAACGCGAATGATCAGCCGATCATGTGCCGTCAGGCGACTTATCAACTGGGGCGCAGTGAAATTTCGTCTTTATTTGATACATGTGACTCTTGTGAAAGGTCTAATACGAGCGGGCGAACTTTGAATTTATAATTAATTCTGGATCAGGGGCTATGACTTATGTCCAGCTTTTTTTTTATATTTTTTTGTAAGTTGAAATGAAATTTTTCTGATTTCTATTACGGTATTTACCATTGGTAGGATTCATCGTTCCTCAAAATAAAATTTCCGTACTGTGGCCGGTTTAAAGCAAAATCAAAAATCGAAAAAAAAATAAAGCAAATAAAGTTTATAATTAAAAAAATAAAAAAATAAAATAAAGATACAATTAAAAAATAACCTGTCAAGTACACTACTTTTTTTTTTATCTTTCAACATCCACAATTCCTTCATATTTCCTTTACTTTCATTACAAGAATCTCAAGGAAATCAAAGAAATATGCCAATGCATTAAGATGAGATCTTTAGTAAAAAAAAGTAAGATTAAAGTTCTTGCTTTATCTTAAATTGCATAAAAAAAGATCTGTAAAGTTATTGTATTTCTTTATAAAAATTTTTTTAATATATTAAATTTTTTAAATAATATAATTGTTTATTATATAATTTAATGGTCTTTATTTTTTTTATTCTTATTGTATTGCTATTTCCTAAAGTTTGTTTTGTTTTTTTTTCTTCTTTTGTAATTTAATTATATTGTATCAGTTTAAAAATTTTTTCTAATATACAGTAATTTAGATAGCTATTTTAATAAACTAGTATTTAACTCATATAAATTGAGAAATATAAGTTCTTGTTCAAATATATAATTATATATATATACTATAATAAAGGAACTAATGTTTACCAAATATATATACCATATGAGCGGGTTTGATTTTTTGGACCTTTTTTTATATAGTAATCAAAATTTAATTACCCCAAATTTTCGATTATAATTTGTTAAACGTCATCAAAATAAAATCTCAAAACAAAAATGCTATTATAAAAACACCAACTAACCCATCACTTTATTGCTCAACCCATCACTTTATTGCCCAACCCATCACTTTTTTACGAGGTAAGGTATAAGCAATTGTAAATTTTAGTAACAGTTATTTTAGTTACTTTCTTAACATTAATTCATAGTATTTAGATGCCTCGTAATTCTAACAGATTTTTCTGTGCTATATGTACACGATCCTTAAAAGGATTTAGAAGTCCTGCTGGTTTACAACGGCATGAAACAACCAAACATGCAACATACAATCTAATACCAAATCACATTAAACAAGTACCAAAGTCAGAGCTTTGTCATTTGAAACGCGTTATAGTCAAGGAATTACAAAAAAAACTCAAAAATTATTACCGTGCGATTGGGGAGCAAGTGCTTTCATTACATTGTAGTGAAGACGCGTTCGTTGGTATTTTTGGACATTATATTACACGTTATTCACCCTGTGGTTCTTTTTATGTTTGCCATTTCAAGGGTGAAGATGCTGTAGAAACGATAGGTCAGTTGTTAGATAATGATCATTGGTGCGAACGTGATTATGGTAATGGGCAACGAAGTTTTGTTCGACTTTATATACCAGAAGAGCCACAAAGGACACCATTTAATGAGAAAAA